AATCAATTATATTGCCCTGTCCTTATTTCCAAATACGACAAAAAAACACGAATGAGAAACTGAGAATTTTGGGATCATGTACGCTGTACGCAAGCGATACAAGAACAAATAATCTGTGTACGCACGACTTCTGTCATCTGTCCACTTGGAGAATCACCTTAGAATTTTTTTTTTAAAATATTATTCTTTAATTCGTTATGTGAAAGTCTTGAAGAAATCCTTTGTTTGCTTGGTCACAATTTATCAGCCCTAAGTCGCGGCCACTGGTGTCTTGATCTTATATATAAATAATAATAATCTCAATGATGAAATTAAATTTCATTACTTTTCAGTTACCGAGGGGTCGAAGACAATATTGCTTGATATATAGTAACCGCAGAAACATGAGGTTTAAGTTTGGAAAACTAATGTTAGGAGACAAAACACATGTTAGTCGGATTTCATGAAAGCTTCCTTTTGCACGACTCTACAGAGAATTAGTTGGTCGCCTCGCCCTGATATTATGTGATTACTATAATATTCTCTTATATGCAATCTCGTCTAAGCAAAGTTACGTTCCTGCAATAATTGCAACTAAAGTTTAAATTTAACTTGGTGCAGTTTTTTTTTTTTTAAATGTGAGCCACATTCATCACTGAATCATTTCATGGTGTGGCGCCTTTTTTCTTGAGATCTTCATATTCTCCTATGCGCGCCCGCACAGCGCTTGTTCTTTAACTTGATCCGTGTCGTCGTTTTCTTTTGACTAAGTGTATATATATACATAGAGAGAGTGGGAGGGAGTTAGTGTATGACAATGCTTGTTCATCGACTTCATCGGTTTCGTTGTCGCGTGGACTGCTCTCGGGGAGGGAGTTTTGTAGCGTTACTGATGTCACTGTAAACTAAACAAATGATTTGCTTGATTGCTCGCTTAAGTTTTGCTCATAAGAAAAATCACGCTTAGCTTCTAATTTGTCAGCTAAACTACTGATGATTGGCTTAATTGCTATCTTAAGTTTCTACCAGTTCCATCTAGATTCGTGACTTTCCACGCCTCTCTGTGCCACGTATGTTGATTTGTTTTTTTTTTTTTAATTTTCATATGCACGAAGAGAGATCATTCTCCTTATCTTCTTAATTAATTGTTAAGAAATTGGTAATAACAACTTCCATAATTTCTATCACGCAGAGAGCCGCGCTTCAAAACCTTAATATTGCAGGTAATTACCTCTATGTTTAATTATTTCATGTCAAGTGCTTGCTTCATTTTAGTTCAGCCAGAACCTTATTGGGTACACACTGTAACAGCAGTTTAAACTGGTATAATAGGATCTGAATTTGAAGTTTGTTTAATATATAATCAACAAATACATAATTTGAACTTCATTTGCATTGTGTATGCGTATTTTATATTGCATACAAATGCCCAGATTTATTTTTAAGAAATTAGTTCCATTTATCATATAAAAATATGAATCCATGTTTACCCATATGATTTTTATGCATTGACTTACAAAACTTTATTATGCACGCGAGCTTACCCACATGGTTAATTATATATTATAGTTTCATTGATATTTATTTCCTTCATATTCTACGTTGTCTAAGTAAGGGCCTATTTTTTAAATTTTACTACTACGTTATATCATCGTATTCGTATAATTGAATCATTTCTAGCCCAAAAAAATAATTAAATCATTTATTGTGACGATTATTCATTTGTTCGTTAAACTATAAAATTAGCAGCATAATTTAATTTATATATATATATATATATATATAATGTGGTTCATTTAATACATCGTTTATTTTGAGATTCTTATTAAATTGTAAACTCTGAAATGGCTTAATTCATCTTAATTATGTTGATTCAACTTATTTTAAAAGTTAGGAGTTTAAATAAATTGGTCTAAAAATAAAATTTTCTAATTATTCGAAGCTAGGATCCAATTCAACTCAAACTGGAGGCAATTAAAATTTTGACAATCAAAAGAATAAATACAATGTCAATATAAATTCAAAAATGCTATAAATAATTTCACCAAAAAAGTATTATAAACAATAAAGTGCATCTAAATTGTTTGAACAGTATTAAGTTATTAACATGAAATCTTCCAACAATACACATTCAAAAGAAAATTAAATGACTACTTTTAAGATTTATGGTTTGACAATGAGTTGAGATTTCATTACAAGTGTAATATAAAGAGAAAATCACCGTCAAATTTCACACAAAAAATTTAGAAATAAAAATTTCATATAATCATAAACTTATTTTAAAAATTCTTGTTTTTTGTTGAATTAAAATTATCCAATATACTGCATAGTTATTAGAAAAGTTGTTCAGTTGATGAGTTCCATATTTTGTTATCAATTGACCAATGTTGGTCTTGAAAGGGATTACAGCTCGAATTCGAGTATACAATTTTTTTTGGAAAAATTTAGCTTGGGACCTTTTGACTGTAGATAATGAAAAAGAAAACGTTAAGATTTTTTTATAACTTACTGCAAGGCTTGGGGCCTAATTTGATATGAATTTTAAAAGCCAAATAATAAAATTTCCCTTGTTGTAAGAAAACTATTAAGGAAGAAAAAAATATCTTGCAAACACGACTTGCAAGCATTGCAAGCCCATAGAAGACAGGGTACATAGTGAGGTTTACAAAGTTTATCAAGAAAGCCTCCATCATTAAATTTCTTATCCAAGAATCTTGGTTGAATGAGTCACCACCAGGACAACCACTGCCTCTAACCTCGTCGTCGGATTTGATGCAAAAGTATTTAATGAGTAGATAGAGCAATGAGTTAATCATAGAATCAACCTTGAAAATAAAATCTCACATAAGATTTTGTAACTCCATTAGACGAGAATCACAAGAAGAACTCTAAATACGATGCATGTTACAACTTCTTGCAAGTGATAGTGCCAAGAAGAGATGAGGCTAAATTACTTGTTTCAATTATTAACAATACCAATGTTATAATTTTTGTTATTGCCATCATAAAATTCCTTGGAATTGTTCTTTTTGTGTATATATGAACAAATCATTGGATAAGAATGAATTAGTCATTTTATGTTCACTCGCAATTGCATTTAATGAGAAAAATGAATTATAAATATGTAGTTTTATGTCAACTTAGAGTGTTGTGATGAACACTTTAGGTAGGAAAATTAATAACATTCCATAGAGTGATGAACCATACATGATAAGGTGACAAACAAGTCATTTAAATATGAAACCAACTAACACTTGAAATTATTTCAAGTCAATGTTGTAACGAGCAAGTGAGATAAGGAAATTAACAAAATGTCAAAGGATGATAAATCACACACGGTACGATGATGAATAAGTCACTTGAAATTTTTTAAGTTAGGTAAAATCCAAACTCATATTGGTAAAACTAGTACATACTGGTATGAATAACTCATAATGGTATCAATGCAACATACTAGCATGACATAAGTTGTTATAGAAACCCACAATTGTAGGGAACAAGTGAGGTAGGAAAATTAATAAGATGCCATAAGGTGATGAACCACGCATGGTAGGGTGATGAACAAGTTATTTGGAATTTTCTAAGTTAGGCGAAACATAAACTCATACCGACATAACTAGTACATATCGACATAAATAACTCATATCAATATCAATACAACATATCGGTATGAGAGAGGTTGTTATAAAAACCCATAATTGTAATGAACAAATGAGGCAGAAAAATTAACAAGATGTCACAGGGTGATGAACCACTCGTGGTAAGGCGACAAACAAGTCACTTGAAATTTTTGAAGTTAGGTGTAATCAAAACTTATATCGATAGAACTAGTATATACCAATATGAATAACTCATACTGATATCAACACAATACACTGATGTGACAGAGTCTGTTATAGAAACCCACAATTGCAGTGAACAACTGGCATAAGGAAATTAACAAGATGCTATAGGTTGATGAACCACATATAATAGGATGATGAATAAGTCACTTGAAATTTTTTAAGTTAGGTCAAGCTTAAACTCATACCAATAGAACTCATACATATCGATATGAATAAATCATATCGATATCAACACAATATACCAATATGACAAAGTTTGTTATATAAATCCAGGCTCAAACTAGTAAAACCAGTACATACCGGTATATTAGAGACAAGCTGGTGTGACAAGCACATTTTCTCTACCTAGATCTTTTAATTTCATCCATTCAGTTAAAATTTACTTCCGACAGCTACTTTTTCATAACGATCAAGTGGTAACATTATGGCATGACTCTATGTGTTATAAGAGGTGCCTTTTTTTTCATTCTTACTCATATCTCAAAATCTTACTGATAGAAAGCTTAGATTCTCTCAAACTTGGTAATCACTATCTCTTTGCCAAAACCAAATTTCATATGTGATTATCTCATAAACAATTTCTCGACCAAAAACCCTCGACATAATTTATTAGTAAATCTCTCAAATCTTTGATTCAATCTAATTTTATATCCGTCTTTTTAAAGAAGATTGCTTGAGTAAAAACTATAGAGAAGTCACTCACAAATCAAAAAATCACTTCAAATGACTTTTATGAGACTTGTAATCTCGTTTTGGAGAGAAAAGGAATGAGTAGAAGCACCTTAAAAAATAAAACTGAAGTGTTAAACAAAATCAAACAAATTGTTAGTGCTCAAAAGGAGCAAGACTGCAAGAGGGGGATGAGAGAGAGTGTGTCTTGCACTTCCATCTATCTCTTCCACCACCTTTTTTTTTTATTAAACCTCAGTTTTTTTTTTTACCCTTACAATGAAGGGCAATATTATCATTTGATTTTAAAATTAATATCAAATCAGGCTCCAAACCTTGCAGCCAGACATCAAAGATTTTGAGGTCATCTTTTTTATTATCTATAGTCAAAAGATCCTAAATGAAATGTTTCCTTTTTTTTTTTTTTGGTAATTTGTTATGGAATGAAATCTCGTGCTTCTTAACCAATTATTTATTTCGTCCTTTTATTTTAGGTATTTTCAAAGACCATTCTCCATTACCGGGATTTTTCTTCTGTTGCTACCGCCTCTGTTCTCCTCAACCTCTGGCTCGGAAGAAACCCTTGTTCCCAATCTCTGCTGACTGAAAAGTGAAAACGGCAAAGCCATTCTCATTGGTTCATTGGTTTACATACCCTAACGATTCGAAGCTGCCCTGGGAGACAGGACTAGTCATTGAATCTTGATGGTGTGCGAATGCTGAATTGAACCCGATCTGAGTCTTGACTATTGGTTTAGAGGCTGATGGGTGCTGCAGGCTCCAAGCTAGAGAAGGCTCTTGGCGATCAATTCCCTGAAGGCGAGCGATACTTTGGCCTGGAGAATTTCGGTAACACTTGTTACTGCAATAGCGTCTTGCAGGTAAGCAACTGAGAATAGACACGTTTATTTATCATCAGAGTTGATTTCTTGTTTCTGGCTGGCTTTCATCGTCTTATGAGGCAAGCCTCGATTTGCTGCAGTGAGATAGAAATCGTCTTGTTTTTCTGGTGAACGCTGAGAGTTTGTTAACTAGACCTCTCAGTATCGTGTGATTCTATGGAAAAAGTGTTGCAGTTGCGTACTCGTGTACAATTTTTAATCCCTTGATTTATTGACCAAATTAGAATTCCCGATGCAGCATTTGCATATTTCCTACCCTCTTTTGAATTCCAGTTTAGGTCAAGAAATAATCAAACTTTCAGGCTTTGCTGTCTGAGAGGAGGCAATGATAACAGTGTTATAACGAATTTAAAATATCTCTTCAGATTCTCTGAATTGGTCTAAACCTTACGCGAATATCTGTAATATACTATCTTGTCTCAGTTAAATAATTCTATTGCTCTATATTATCTTCTTGTCGACATTCATCACCATTGTTGATGTCTCTGTAAATGTTTCGTTCAACATCTCGCTAATCATGGTCCCTTGATAATAAGACGTGGTTCCTAAATTATAAAACCTTTCAGACCACATTTCAATGTAGATTTGTTATCTGGCCCGTCTGTTGACATTGATAATCGCATCAGGTGTCTTGAATGACAGTATATGAAGATGAGTGTGCTTGTTATGCCCCCCCCCTTTTTTTTACAAAGTGTAATTGTTATGCTTGACAACCAGTTTTGTGGTTCTTTTCTATCAAGTCACTCTTTTTACCCCTTTCTGCAGGCACTATACTTCTGTGTACCATTTCGTGAGCAGTTACTAGAGTATTATGGAAATAATAAAAGCATAGCAGATGCAGAAGAAAACCTTTTAACTTGCTTAGCTGACTTATTTTCACAGGTAAGGAATCTTTGATTTAAAAATTCTTGGTATGCTAGCATGGTTTACCACATGGATAGTTTGTATTGCCCTGATCAAGTATATAGCAAATGCCTACATACCATCCTCCACCAGAGGAAGCTGTTATTTCCTTTGCTTCATTAGTTCATTTGATTTTTCTGCCATTGTAGTCATATTGCAATGCATCTATGGGGTTATTATTATCATTATATTAATCAGGGAGTGGGGATAAGGCTTGTTGTTGTTGTTGTTGTTGTAATCAATAAATAGGGAGTTTATAACTTGAGATTTCTTTCTGTGGTAAATTTTTTGTCGTGCTTTCTTGGATTTGGATTCTTATATTTAACTATCGTTTGAATTTTGGTTCCCAGTTTTTTTTTTTTAAACTTACTTCTGGAATAGAAGTTTTCTTTTGCCTTTGGAAAACACGTCCTTATGGCGTGCCCAAATTTGTTTCCTTAGTTAATGTGGTTGTGATCTTGATATCTTTTAGCGCTTGTAATTATCCCCCTCTCATCTTCTCCTTGGAGATTTAAAAATTGGCAGAGGCTGTTGCATGCTTGTCTAAATCTGCATTGTTATTGTAGTATGCTTGATTATGCATATTGTATTGGCTGCTCCTGAGTTTGTATATGTTTACCATTGTTATCCAATTAATTCCTTCAAAAGTTGAGGTAATATACATGCCTATTCTTTTCTTATGTGGTTGTTTAATATGCCATTATTTCTCTTGGTGTAGATAAGTTCCCAGAAGAAGAAAACAGGTGTTATTGCTCCCAAGCGGTTTGTACAGAGGTTGAAAAAACAGAATGAACTCTTCCGTAGTTATATGCATCAGGTATGTGATTAAGTTGTCCAGAATGAACTTTCTTCAGGAAAGTTGGTTATTTTTTAAATTCTTAAGTTTCTTTTGACAAAAATGATTTTATAATGACATAGGAGATTATTTTGTTGACAAACAGTGTTTGAGTATGTTGTCATGTCTCTCCATGTTTATGGAAGGATGTTATGACTTATGTTTAGTTCTTGCTTCTAAGTTGCAGCTGAATTTAATCATGAATATGAATTATAGATGCTATTTTCTGTTTTAAAGCTGCGTCATAGATTTATTGTATGGTTGGTAAGGAAGAAAAAGTTACTGCCATGGTCAGGGTCATGTTGCTTTGGACAGATTAGACCCAAGTGTGAAGGATTCCGATCTTGTTTTGAAGTGCTTCAAAGTGAAATTGTACTATCACTTCTTAGCATGGACATGGAGTTTATATATCATTAAATATTTACTTGACTTGTCACTTCTGATGATTGCTGTCACTGCTGGTGTGCATTTCTTATTGTTTACATTCTTTGTTTGTTCTGTCTTTTAATCTCAATCTACTACTGGCTAGATAATGCCTCTCTATGTTGTCTAAGTTCCTTATTTGAAATAATATTGTCATTATTGAATTTGTCTTCTGTTTTTGGTAGGATGCCCATGAATTCTTGAATTTCTTGTTAAATGAACTTGTTGACATTCTGGAGAAAGAGGCTCAGGGTGCAAAGGCTGATCAAGATACCTTGTCACCTTCTGAAAAGACTGCAAATGGACATAGGAATGGTCCAACTAATGGCGCCCAAAAGGAGCCTTTAGTTACTTGGGTGCACAAAAATTTTCAGGTTACAGGTTCCTGCCAGCTTAATGTTTTCCTTTTGGTGTTTTGCTTGGGGCAGACGTTAGAGAGTATAAACTTAAACTTTGTATTTGATCAAACTAGTTAGCGTTTCCTTTTAGGTGTGTTCATTTTTTTTTCCCATTTTCTTTTGACTAATCAGAAAATCAACCTTGTGCATCCCTTGCTATTTACCTATTTAAGTTTTTGACATTTTTAGATAATATTTTTATAATTTTATATGATTAATATTGGCTTGGCTGTAAGTGTTGCTTGAATAATGCATTTTTTTTTTAATTCTGTGTAACTGACTTTTATAACCATAGCTGATGAGAATATTTTCAATTTTTCTTTTCAATGCTCATGCTCACACCACCACCATCAGTATCACCATTATTGACTGTTTCTTCTTTGTCCTTTTTTTTTTTTTTTAGCTGAGAGATTTTTAACCTCTTTCTCCGTCATGTGCTCACTGGTTCGAATTGTCATATGCTTCTGAAGAATTACATTACGTTAATTTTTTTGACCAGGGAATACTCACCAATGAGACGAGGTGCTTGCGTTGTGAAACAGTGACAGCTAGGGATGAAACCTTTTTTGACTTGAGCCTTGATATTGAGCAAAACAGTTCTATCACTAGCTGTTTGAAGAACTTTAGTTCCACGGAGACTTTGAATGCCGAAGACAAATTTTTTTGTGACAAGTGCTGCAGGTAAATACGGCTTTAATCTGGGCACAAGTTTTATATCATTAGTTGCCTGTATGCTATTTTGTGGCATCAACTTCTACTTGGTTCCTTGAGTGCTTTGAAGGAGGTAAAATATCAATCCAACCATTTTGAGCTATGTGCTTATCCTAAGAGTTCTGCTGACTGTGTATGAGTTATGTCCATTTTCCTCTCCAATGACTTAAATTGAATTTTCTTGTGATATTAGCTTGCAAGAAGCTCAGAAGAGGATGAAGATCAAGAAACCGCCTCATATCTTGGTCATCCATCTTAAACGGTTCAAGTACATTGAGCAGCTGGGCCGCTATAAGAAGCTGTCTTACCGGGTTGTCTTCCCCCTTGAGCTGAAGTTGAGTAACACTGTTGAAGATGCGGATATTGAGTACTCTCTGTTTGCAGTAGTTGTCCATGTTGGGAGTGGACCCAACCATGGGCATTATGTCAGCCTTGTGAAAAGCCATAACCACTGGTTATTTTTTGATGACGAAAATGTTGAGATGATTGATGAATCTGCTGTGCAGACATTCTTTGGGTCAGCACAAGAATATTCCAGTAATACAGACCACGGGTACATATTGTTTTATGAGAGCCTTGGCTCTGGTAGCAAAAACTAGACATGAGGTGCTCCACTCTACTTCAATCATTTGGACTTGCCTTTTTCATCTGTTTTCTATGATAATTATATATTAAAATATTTACCTTTTTTCCTTATCCAACCTGCGTGAGGAGCTGTTAGACATCCTTGTGACGATGCAAGTTACGAAAATTTATACTTAGGTGGTTGGTATGTACAGTGGATGGGGGAAGCACACTGTCTTTTTCACAATAAGAGAAGAAAGAGCAGTATATATGATTTGACATTTCACCAACAATGTTAATCACCTTGAGATACAAAATGCAGTTGGAGGTGCTCGTAACTTATATGCGGTTATTCTTTTTGACTGGTTATCTGTGTCTGATTTATCTAATCAGGATCCTGGTGGGCTACATCTCCGTGCATGTGAGAGGCTTGCCTTTGGTCATTTTCTCTCTTCAATAATTTACTCTTTTCTTTTTCTCTTAATAATACGCTTTGGATAATTTATATCACTGATCATCGTGTGTTAAAAACCATGATTCCATCTTGAACTGCTATTATGTACTCTTTCTGTTTATATATATAAAAAAAACAGTTTAAAAAAGTTAATTAATTTAATAATTATGTCTGAAAATAAAGAAATTAAATTAAAATGTTTTATATTAATTAATATAAGTATATATTAATTATTTTTTGTTAATGTAAATTATAAAAGGTGATTTAAAAAATATATAATAAATGTTTATTAAAATATATGATTTTGTTTATATAAAAAATGTAAAAAATGGTGGTTTTTTTAATAAATAAAAATAGAGTACTATATACTAATGCTTTTTCGGAGGGTTGGGAGAGGAGAAGGGTGGGCTGTTTGTAATACCATTTTTGTTTTTAGGGCCAGAGAAGAAGCATCATTCATTGAAAATAAAGGGCCGAAGCCCAGAAGCAAGAGTTCACAACAACCGTAAATGCACGACAGGAAACTAAGAAAGACCAGAAAACATAACAGCCATAAAGTACAATCAGCCTATGCCATCTCGTTCAGCCTCCTGTACCAATTGGCCATCACAGAATCGCGATAATCGCAAGTCCTTAGAAAAGAAGAGAGCTAGGGGAGGTGGTGGTGGTGCAGACCCCTAACCCGAAGGTTCCAACTCGTTTAAAGCTAAACCTGCCAAAAAATTCAGCAGCTTGATTCCTTTTCTAGAGACAAGGGAGAAAGGCAGTAAACTAAAGGACTCAATCATATCCAAAACATCACCGTTATTGCCAAGCACAAAAGTTCATCAATCTGCTAGAACAGATTTTAAAGAATTCTCAGCAATCTGTCTCCAAAATAATCTTCAAATGAGGCCAAGTCCTAGCAATCTCACATGCCTTCTTAACAGCATAGGCCTCAGCTTGAAAACCTGAATCGGGTAACATTTTATCATGCCAGCCAAATAGGAACTTACCCTCATCTTCCCGTGCCACTATTCCAATACCAGCTCTCCCATCCGACTTTCTGTATGCACCATCAGTATTGAGCTTTAAAGACCCAGATGGCGGTTTAGCCCATAGTGTTTCATCCTTACGCTGTATGCTGATATCAGCATCAGCATTTAGCCCTTTTACCCCCCCCCCCCAAAAGTCCATAATCCCTGCATATGTGGTAGTAATAAGATGCCCAGGATCAGGAGGGTCATCATCAAATATCATCCGGCAATGGAATTTCCTAAATATTCCAACAAATCCAAAATAAATATGCTTTTCCATAGCTATCCAAGAAATATGTTTGTAATACGATTGCCTTATACAATCCGATTTTAAGATATCGATTAGGAAAAAATTAGGGAGGAAGAGTACAATATTATTTTGAGTAAAGATATTTTTTTTCACCCCAAAAAAAGGTAGAAACCCTACCCACGAAGTAGATTTCAAGTCATAATGCGATTAAATGCCTGGACTGGTGTAAATTCTCTTGGAGTGACTCTGGCATATTGACGTGCAGACTTTAATCCAGATTTAACTCATAAAAAATTACATTTGTCTATGACTGACGGTTGATCCAAATAGCAGGCCAGTTTTTTAACCGAGTTGCTATATTTTTTGAGTGAGCTTTCATGGGTAATATAGTAACTAATGACTCATGATCAATACTCCCTGTGCTTCTTATAATAAGACATCTTCTAAAAATATTTTTTTGGTCCGTACTACAAGGCACATGGAAGTTAATAACTGTTACTTATCGGTTATTACCATTTTTCAGTTTTACTCCTATTATAAACTTAAATTTATGGCTCATCATATATAGTATGTCTTTCTCATTCTATTTTTAATAGGAGTAAAGTTAATTTTCGTTATTTTAAATTATTTAATGAGTTAATTATCATTCCTTGATTTCAATAAAATAATTAAAAATATTTTATAATAGGGATTGGAGGGAGTATATTATTATATAAACAAATTTAGGAACATTTGTTTGGTAACATAGCTATTGTGATCTTATATCTGTAACTACAATGGATTTAGTGCTCATCTGAACTATCTAAATTATTTAACATTTTTAAAAAGGCAGAATTTAAAATGAAAAAAATATATTTCAAGTCACGTTTTTTTATAAAAAAAATCTCATTTCAACAATATTTTCTTGGACATTCATGAACAGTCGAGCAGGGGCTAATTAGTGGTTGCAAGCGACATGGCCTTGAAACGTAATGCGCATATCAATGTGTATAGAGCGTGAGTTTTTCTTTTGGAGGAAGGGGCAAAGCCCTTTATTGGGAACGTATGTTATACTATTATTTGTTTTTCTATTAGTAAAATCTTATCACTTATTCATCATAAAGTTATAAGAAAAAATGTTCTTAATTATATCATGATTTTAATTTTAGTATGATATATTGAGAATATATGTTATAATATTATTTGTTTTTCTATTAGTAAAATTTTATCATTCATTCATTAGAAAGTTATAAAAAAAAAAAGATCTTAATTCTAGCATGATATATTGAGAATATATATTATAATATTATTTGTTTTTCTATTAGTAAAAATCTTATCACTCAGAAAGTTATAAGAAAAAATAATTTTGCATTTTGAAATTTAAAGAAAAATTTTGAAATGATTTTTTTTGACAATCCACTATTAAAATGAATGTACAACCTGATGTGAATGAAAATTATATAATTCATAAATGGTAACACACTAAGCCTCTATAATAATTTTACCTTAGGTCTCCAATATTCTTCACATGGCCTTGTTTATTTTGGATTTTGTGAGTGAAGAACACTTACTTTAGTTATTGCAACGTGCTTTAATGATGATGATGATGATTTATATTATTCTAATACACGGGATTCATCTACCTAATTATCGTTTGGAAATAGATTCACAGTAGCTATGATTTTGTATTCTGCGGCAGGCAGTCTATGGGGAACCACTATGCCATTACCAGAAGAAAGCAATAGACTAAACAAATTGTGCATTGTATGCTACTGCCATAATGGATTTTGGTTGAGAGACTTAATGTAATTCATCCTCCCATTTGGAGTGTAAAGAATATATATAGACAGGAGACAAAATTAGGAAAAAAAAATATTATCACTACTTAACAGATTTTCTTTTATTTTTTTTAGTTTTCATCCTCTTTAAAGAGATGTTAGGAGAAAACAATGGCAAAAAACGTCTTTTTCATCTAGTTTTTTCTTATAATTTTCTCTTTTCTCTATTTTTTTTAATTCCAAACAAAGTCATAGAGTCATTCTAACATTAATCTCATTTCCTAGCATCTAAATCGTGTTTACCATTATGATTAAGAGACTTGCATGAAAAACAAGCACTTGGTATTCTGTTCCGGATGTTAAGATTTTTTTATTGCACTTGGTATTCTTAATGTGGGTTTTATATGTTATGTCAAATTTAAAAGATGAATCCTATTTTATAATTCTCTCTTTAATACTCATTAGAATTTTCATATTATGTATGGATTTGTACACCAGATAGTTTCTTTAAATAGATAATAGGAAGTTAGGAACTAACGTTTTTCCAAACTTCCAAAATATGATATCTTGTAATTCATCAATTAACTCTGTTGTGTACAATGTACTGTAGTAAGCAACGTAAAACAGACGAGAGCCTGAATTCTAACCTGCTTTACGTTGAATTCATATTACATTCAACAATGCTTCATATTCAATGATGTCATCATGATTTCTGAGCTGTTTGGACTCATATTACATTTTACCCGCATGAGGAACACAGAAAAAAATAGGCTCTATAATATTGCTAGTCACAGGTTCACACCAAAAAATTGCTAATGCTCAAATTTGGAGTTCTATCAAAATTTTGGGTCTTTTGTTTTTGGAACCAGGTGGAAAGAGGAAGGTAAGGAATAGAAAGAGACGCCTAAAAGTTTTAACTTGTCCCCTCAGACATGCTTCATGATCTTAGTAAGATACTAATTATGCACTTTGGATCATTAATGATGTGATTGTAATTTGGGATTTCTGCGATTGAAACTTCGAAGTTAGGGTTGGGTATTTCCATGTTCTGTAAGGAAAGAAAACATTTTAAAATTCCTGTAGAATCACTTTATCCCGTCCTGTATATGCGCATTGCTTCCTTTACATTGATGATAGATACTGAAATTGGAAATTTACCAATTTTAGGCATAGGTTAAATCATTGCTGGTGAATTTTCAAGTGAGGTTAGTGCTGTCCAGTAATAGAAGGGTTACACAAAATTTATACTCACTTTATATATTTTCAATAATCTTATTTTCAACCATAAATAATTTTAATCCAAATCTACAATAGGTGAATTTATTAGTCAGGTCAGTGCTTTTCAACCATGAAGTTACGTATATTCAATAAACATAAAACCAATGTTTTAAAAGGGGGCACAAAAACAGGCCGGATGTTAAAGATAAAATATTTTACTCCCTTCGTTTAAATATGTGAGGTATTTTTTTAAAAATGGGATGTTAAAAAATATAAAGCATTTTTAATCTTTTAAAGTATAATTATTTTCTTTTTTTTTAAGTGTCCCTATTGATGAATGACTTTATATTTATTGTAAGGTATTTAATAAGAGTAGATATGAAAAGATAAAATTAGTTTGAAAGTAAATAACTACTTTATTGAGGGGTAAGATTTGATTAAAAATATTGTATATTTTTGAACAGAAAGAATATATATTTTAAATATTTTTGTTTGTAGCACTAAAAATTTAATATAAATGTGAAATAGAAAAATTTTTAAGTGGTGTCAGTACCTTTTACACAATTTCAAAAGGCACGAGATAGTCAATTTGAGGCTTTTATTTTTAAGTAGTATATTGACCAAGTGATTTTTATAAGAGTTTTAACCATCAAGGCAAAAAATAACCTCACCGTCGGCAGGTTTTTGGATGATCAGATGATCTACGAGTGGTGACAACCTGTGATTGGCGATTGATCAATCTTAAATGACTTGACGACCATCAACAGTGGTCTCTGAGGGCAATTTTGTGTGACATGCCATTATAGGGCTAGATCAATAAGAATAGGAAAAACATCAATTAAGCATTGCTTGAAAAAATTTATATCAATTAAGAATTGATATATTTTAAAATTATGTTGCAATCCCTTAATCCTTTACATTGATATTAATTTCTTTCAATAGTCCTTATTTGGTATTTTTCCATAAGGATATATTCTACACATTCAAAAATATAATTCATTTTTAATTAAATTGCACTTCTAAAAAATTAGCTAATTATTTTTAAATTAAGATCATTTTTCTCATTTCTGTTTTTATTCAATGAGGTACCTTACTTTTAGATGAAAGGTTAAATGATTTATTATTAATAGTATTTTTGAAAAAAATACTAATTACATATTAAAAAAATTAAAAATATCTTGTATTTTTAAACATTTAATTTAAAAAAATATTTTATATTTTTTAATGATGGTGAGTCATATATATGAGAAGTGGGCCTAAATGATCCCACAAAGAGAGCTACAACAAATGTGGGCCTAAACGTAGCCCAGTCATAATCCTTCAATCGGTAGCCTTACAACAAAACATCCTCTGGTGGATTGATTAAAATTAGACAACTACTTCTGCCCGACAGTGCAGATGTAAATACTCCATTTGCTTAACAGAAATTGGACTGGGAAGCCCCAACACATCCCTCGTGACATGGATCAAGTGGAAGTTTTTTTCGTAGGGAACAATTACCCGATATTATCTACACATCCACTTATATTTATGTTCTTTTCTCATGGAAAGAAAACACACGCACCCTTCACAATTTCTTACTGTGGGATTTTACACACATCCTCCTTCATATTTAAGAGAAGAGTTGGTGCCACTGTAGCACAAGGGCCATCGGCAGGTGACAGCTGAACTGGCAAAGCGTGGCAATGAGTCTGAATTTCTTGAGAATGCTGACTTCATAAAAATAAAAAGGGGTATGATGACACTTCAGGACTTCAAAATTTTACAATTTTAATTAAGGATCTCGGCCATTTAATGTCCTTTTTTTTGTTGGTATTTTTGGCCATCAGTCTTTTTTTCATGTAAGAAAAAAAGGAAATTAACATGAAGTTCCCTATTCACAGATAAGTTGGACATCCTTTGAACCTTTAATCAGAAATCTTAGAGGTTAAGGTGAAAATTATAAAAACCTCGATTGAAATAATTTTATTAATTAATAATTTTTTTTCATATTAATTACTATGATAGTTTCAACTAGTATGTATTACTGCTTTAATCATTTTAAAATTGAAAATTAAAGAATGAACACAAAAATGCCTAATTAATTGTGTAATATTATTGATTTTCTTATTTACTTCCAAAATATCATTTCCCCAAATTTCCCGAGAAAACGTAACAACTCACGAGTCACGGGTGACAGTCGGGAGTCGGGAATTGAGGTGTGAGTGTGACTATCAGGTCATTAAAAAAAATAAATAAATAAATAAAAAGAGGCGTGACCGGAGGGTGAGAGGTGGGAGTCTCAACTCCCAACAACTGACAAAAGAGTCGAGAGAATAATAGTAAACGAGCCCGTGACTCTCTCTCTCACTTCGTGTCGCGCTACGCTTTTACTTCACATGCAGCCGTTCCCAACGACATCATACATCATCTCTCACCTTCTAATCTTCTGTAATTCTTCAATTTTGCCCTTCCCTTTTCCGTATTTTCCCAGCTCTGCCTTTTCATTTTTATGCTCCATTTAATTTCCATTTTTTTAACCAATTCTCTTTCAGATTTTTTGGCCAGAAATATATATTGGTTGATTCCTCTTAAATTACACATCCATCCACTGCACTCTCAAATACTTAATTAGAGCTTGAAAATTTATTAATGATTTTATAATTCCTATATTTTTTATATGAAAAAGTCTAATATCATTAATTATTTTAGAACTACTCCTGTATTTTTGTGATGAAGAAATCTTATATTTTTAACTAGTTTGATTCTAGGTTGAAAAGAAAAATAGTCCAATTCTATTTTTATCACTCCAACGATTCTATCAAATATTTAAAATGATCTTATATCATTCTTTTAATATATATTTTTATATACTGTAAATGTTATATCAGGAAATAATTTTTTTAAAAGTTAGAAAAATAGGTTGATACATCATTGTATTACAAATTTGTAAATTATGTTTTTTTTTTCTTTCCGAAAAAAAAAAAAGCTCAAAGAGAGAGAGGGGCATTATGGTGAAAGCATTGACAAAAATGGGGGGGAAAATGAAATAATTTGTCGTAATCGTGGGAGATGACATAATCAGGAGCTTTTCTGGCAAATCCAGGCATGGGAGGGTGGAATGAAAGGAGCTTCCTCTTTACATCTCTTCCCCTCTGATTTATAACGTTCATATTCACGGGCATTTCGGCCACATTGTTTCTTAATAAAACCGTTTCATCAGTGAAGATCTCAGCTACTTCCACTTTCTCTCTGCTTTATCTCAACGATGGTTGTTGATTCGTCCTGCCAGGTGACATTTTCGTTCCTTCCTAAATTCGGGATGATTTTTTTTTAATTATCTAATTTTCACCTGCTATAGATTCACTTCTGTATTTGTAAGCTGCACTTGAAGTTTTGTTGCCTGCCGTGACTATTATCCGAATCTGAAGATCAGTCGTATCAGCCATTTACTTCAGTTGCTAACAAGTTGCATCACGATAAGATAAAAATTTGTGTGAAATGCTGGTACTTTCCAGCTTCTGATGGAAGACTGGAGGTTGGAAATCTCAGCAAGAGTCATGCGTGAAACGAATTCATTTTACTATGGCTCTTGTGCTTACCATTTAAAACATAAAATTTGACTAACTCTTGTGAAACACGAATTGAAACGCAATCAAAACTGATTGAGGCAACTTCCTTGAAGTCACGTCGTGCTGAAATTTCAAAGGTGCTCAAGAGACACACTCTTCGAGCTTTTACATCCAAATCATGACACCGAGCTTCATTGATTTCTATCAATCGTCTCTCAATTTTGGGGATAAGTCCCTGACTGGCAGTTTATTTGCAGGGAGAAACTAAGATTCGGGAATTTCTGGATGGGAATGGAAGCCTACCTGTCAGTTGTTCGTGTTTGAAGTTACTTAAGTCAAGTTCTGGTGAAGTTAACCAACAGTTTCCTTTAGGTAATAGTATTAGATTACTTACATGTTGGAAGAGCAGAAATGGTTCCAATGGTTGCGCTGATATTCCATTCCATTTCAGAGTTTCCATCAATACTTTTTGAAGAGGCTTCACTCCCACGAGATTTACACCAACCCTTGCACAGTTCACTTGTAAGTTCGTCTTTTTCTTATTAAGTTATCTAGCCTTGTCCTTTATTTTTTTTAAATAACTTACCGCTCTTTTTGTTTGCCAAGTGACGAGATTGAGTTTAAAATCCATTTTGCTTTCAGACACCAGGCTACAACATCAACTATATGCCTGGTAAAAGTGAAAATGGGAATAATAGGGGAGAGTGAATCAAGGTTAGCCCTGTATCAAGGCACGAATTTGCCAATGAACTGAAACTGCATAAAAAATTCACTGAATTTTATATCCCCCTTTCTCTTGTTCAATGGATTAGTTTTCGAGATGTCTATCTATAGTATGAAATGGGCGGAGGTAAAGATGAGGTTTCTGTTCCTGAGATGTGTCAGAGGAAGTGTGTTGGCACTAACTTCACTAGTGCTGTTTCAATGTACAGCTTGTTTTTACCCCCTCTCTGAACTGCTTGATCAACTTTTAACCATAAAAGGTTATGAAAATAGGCAGAGCTCAATGTTAAATGCTTTCATGTTTCTCAAGAACTCAACTGAAGCACCTCCATTTCTGCAGGATCAAGATTTGTATAGCATTTCAGTATTGCCTGAGGAAGGTGACAAGGCAGATTGTGCTTCACCACTGGCTTTCTTCAGCATCTTAGAAGTTCCTGATCAATCTGAAAGTCTGATGAGTTTAGATGCTCACGTAAATTGCCACAGTTGCATTGATTTCCAAATGAAGAGCGAAGAGGTGTGTTCTTCATGCCCGGTTGACATACCTATTGTGAATGGAAATTCAATTTCGCCTGAATCTTATGAAGAGGGGGTTGAAAGTTTTAAAGCCAAGAATCTTCTATCTGTAAGTCTCATGAACTCATCCTCTAAATTTGTGTGATTCATAAGAGAGCCTTCAACTTCTGTTTTAATTCATCTGCTTGTGTTGTATAAAAGCAAAAGAAAGAGTTGCCTTTGACTTCTGTTTTTTTCTATTCTGATATGAGAATTGGCCCTGCACAATATTGCAGACGGTATTGTGGAGACAAGCTAGTCTAAAAATAGGTGGAAAACTCACGCAAATTCTGACGAACCTCACCACTTCAAGGGGTATATCTAAAACTTCACTCTTTTGTTCTCTTGTGGAATAATATTTTTCGATTCATAGAAAAAATAGTTTAGCAAGCTGTCAGAGTAGTTCGGAAAAGTAGTCTAGACCTAAAGGAAATTTTCTACGCAATAAATCTGGTGTCCTGACAAGATTCGATTGTATTATCTTGCTTAGAAGAACCATAAATGAGGAACAGATCCAATTTACAATTTTTAATACTTAGTTTTAGCCAGTTGGATCTTTCTGACTAGACCTTTAGATCAACTAAAAGATTTCGCAATTGTATGCCTTCTCAAAAGCAAGGCGGTAAAGGACAAGTTGATAAGTCACTAGCAGATATGGTTGACCAAAACTAGAAGATTTGAAAAAAGCAAGGTTATCATTCAGTCAAGCCGTTACTAATTCCCTAACTTTCCATTGCTGATCTAATTGAGAAGCCTTCATAGTCCAGCCTTTTTTTTTTTTTAAACATATATTTTCTTGTGTTTTCATGCAAGATGCAACCCTCATATTTGGCACACATACAGAACTGAATGCTACACGTATAGAATTAGAAGCCTTCTCAACTGATTGCTTTTCTTTTCTATCAAATCCTACTCATACTGTTACGTGTATAGAACTTAATACTCAAGCTATCCAGATACATTTTTAACTGTCATGATTTATAAATTAACAGCTGCATCAGTCACAGACAAGGCATATGATTTACCGAGCATAAGATGGAGAAGATATAAGCGTTCTGCCTCATTTGATTCCCGAAAAGTTGCTCTTCTGTTTTCAATATTGTAAGTTCTAGTTGTCACGTGCAATTAACATTGCAACTTAACATTATGCCAGCATTAACTCGATCGTAGTCTTGAATCTTAGTGTTCATCTGACTTTTCTTATTCATAATACATAATTCATTTACTCTATTGATTTCTCTGCAGGTCCAGTGTGGGCAGTTTGGTGTTGATATATCTAACGTTGAAAGTCAGGCAGAGGGGTGATGGTTTTGTTCTTATTTGATGGTCCAATCTCCGCTGCATACTAGTCACGTGTAGGCATCCTTTTCATTGTTGTTTAGTTCGAACTTGTCCCTTGATGTGTAAAATATGGCTCTTTATTTAGTTGATTGGTAATATGTGGAAAATCTTTGTTGGCATTTAAATATGTGATTGATTTTTGCATTCTATCCTAAAACCCCTTCTACTTTTTCTTATAAAATCATGCAAATCATATGAAATTCTGCAACCTACTAATTAGTGTCAAACTAGGACGGGTGGACAAGCCCTGAGAATGAAAATGGTTTCTGGCATATTCTAACCACAACAGAGTCTTGATGAGGAATAAAAGAATCGTTCTGCAATGGTTTTGCCGTTAGCTTGCTTCTTTCAGACTATACACAGTTTGTCGAGTGAAACGTGCAATTTTTGTAAGAGTTGACACATGGATTCATGCACTTGTTGGGCGAAATAGAGGGTTCTGCGTTATTTTTCAATCAATTGCGCATTTAAACAACTCTGTAACTGTCAAAAACTGAGATTCTCTCGCACCGTTAGCTTCAAATATTATACTACCATATAATACGCGGCAGAAAATGCACACTATTATGCTTCTAATTACACCTCCGTACATCAAAAGGCTGTATGGAACAAAATCACAAGACGATAATTTGTGATAATTCTTTTTTCGGAATAACTTATATAATTATAAAAAATTATTGGTTTAATGAGCAAAATGAATTCTAAAATATTGTGTGAAAAGCACTTTAAACCTTGAATTCTTAAAATGTACAAAATAAATTTTAAATTTTTAAATTCATAGCAAATTGAACTCTATAGTTAACTCACCATTAACATCATTATTGTTCATTCAATAGAGTTGAGTCAAAATGCTGATGTGTCATTTTTAATTAGTATCACAAACCTTAAACTACTGCATGAGTAGTATCTTGAACCCTGAACTTTAAAATTCAAAGCCAATTATCCTCGTTTATGTGTAGCGTACTGACTATTATGTAGACCAAATTAGCTTCAGTGTGGTCCGTTGAGGTGAATGATCGTTGGCCATAGTAAACGACCTATAATTTTATAAAATGACCTTTTTTGCAATGTTTTTCAAAGATTGGTGTCTCATGCTTTCATATAATCTATAACTCTGATTTAGTCTTATTTTGAATAATGTTTATTTATTTAATGGTAAAAATTTAGGATCGCATTTGAAAAAAAGTTTAAGATTTTAATTAATCAGTTAATTTGGGTTTGTTGATAAAATTGTCGGCATTCACATCCATCATCTGTAAAATTCTCTGATACTTAAATCCTTTTTTTTTCAAATGAGATCCCATGTTTTTACTATTAAATAAATAAATATTATTCAAAATAAGACTACATCAGAATTATAAAGTATATAAAAATATGAGATATCAATCATTTGGAAAACATTGCAAAAAAGAGGCAAAAAAGTCATTTCACAAAATTATGGGTCGTTTGTCGCGACCGACAATGCATTCACTGACACTGAGAATAATTTGATCTACATAATAGTTAATATTCAACACATGAACAATAGGGGAAATTTGCTCTGAATTTTAAAGTTTAGGATCTAAGATGTTATTCATACAATAGTTTAGGATTTGTGGTGTTAATTAAAGATGACATGTTGGCATTTTGACTGAGCCCTACTGAGTGAATAGTAATGACGTTAATGGTAAGTTAATGATGGAGTTTAATTTACTATGAATTTAAAAGTTTAAAGTTTATCTTGCATATTTTAAAAGTTTAGGATTCAATGCACTATTTACATAATACTTTAGGGTTCATTTTGCTAATTAATCTAAAAGTATTTTCTATAAAAAAATGAAAAATGTATCTAAAAAAAAATAGGTTCGGTGCATCTTTCATTTTGTTTTTAGAAAACATTTTGCTACCAACTAAACATTACATTAGTGTAGGAATGTGAATCTTTTATATATTATTTATTTCATAACAAAATTTTGTTATTATATTATTAACCCTTTAAAATATACTTTTCTTAATTTGATTGGACAAAATTATATTATTAATCCTTTAAAACTTCTTTCTTTGTTTCCTTTTCTTGTGGCTTTTTCTTTGAAAAAGGAGTTAAAATTTCTCTCTCTCTCTTTCCTTTTTTTTAGGCTTTTATTTTTTATTTTTTTGGGTTGCAAGAGGGGCAATGGGCATTGCATCATATAAAGGTGTGTTTGGTTGAAGGAAAGGGAAAATTTTAATGATTTTTTCTTCCCTTATTTAAATAGAGAAAATCAAAAATATGAAAGGGAGAGAAGTCTAAAAGGAAAAAATGGAGGGGAGGGGCTCCGTCTCAAAGCTCCCCTCAAATTTGGGGATTCTGCCTCCCTTCTTCTCTATTAAAATCCCCTACTTTTCCTCCCATCTCTTCCTTCCAACTAAACATAGTAGAAAGTTTAGATCCTATTTAAGGGTCTAAAGAATTGTATAAATGTTATTTTCTCCGTTCAAAAATGTAAAATATTTTTTTAGAAGTTGAGTGTTCAAAAATGTAAGGCATTTTTAGTCTTTTGAGATGTAATCATTGCCTTTTGTTTAAAAATGCCCTTATTAATAGTAACTTTATATTTATTATAAGGTGTTTTAATATGGGTAAATATGAAAAGATAAGATTAGTTTGAAAGTAAGTAATTACTTTGTTGGGGGATGAGATTCGGTTAAAAATATTTTTCATTTTTGAACGGAGGGAGTAGATGGTAACTTCTAACAAGTGATCCCTTCGGACAAAATGACTTTACATAATGAGACATTAAAAATTAATAGAAATTAAATATTGAAAAAAAGTGTTTAAATAAGGATTTCAGGTGTTTTGTGAATTCATTTTTTTAGATGAAAGATAAATGAACATTTTAATTTTTTTATTTCATAAATTTATTTTTGAAAATCATGTCATTCGAAATAAATACGAAAAAAATATTTATATGTTACATCAACAACAAATATCTTAAAAATTTAAAAATTTCATATATTTTATAGATATTTAATTAGGAGGATTAGTGAAAAAGGCTTGATTGGAAGAAAAATTATGTGTAGGGACCAAATGCAATAAAAAGACCAAACTTATTTTAATATTCAAAAAAAGATGTGGTGAATGGATCAAAATGCCCTTTGCTATTGGGAGAAAATAATATTGTAAATCAAAAACATTTTTTAGTGACACAAGTTGCGATTTGGACCCTTCATCTCTTCACATGTGACTGTGTGTCACCATGAATGTGCGACTCTTCTCTTAAAGGACTTTTCTCTGGAACTAATATTGAGTACCATTGGAAGTTCTGCATAACATGGATGGAGATAAAATTATAGAGACGATCCCTAATTGGAAAACTAGAGAGACAATCGAGGAGGGAAAGTTAAACGTGGCCATGACAACAGGAGGTTTTTGCTCAAGCTCTAAACAATGGAATGAGAAATGCAGTAACCTTTAGCTCTAGTTCAAGAGAATAGCTCAGACTTAGACTATCATCGGCAAATCAATTTAGATTAGGTCAACTGAGTAAAGAAGCTTCTATTTCGTAGAATGCTTGTAGGCACTGAAGTTGGGAGGTTCTTCTTGGGTGGATTCTACTGTATAGACAAGCGAGGGAACATTATTCTCTAAGACATCATGGAATATCATAGCACACGGTGGTCCTCACCTGTTCTTTTACTATCATTAAGCAAAATACAAAGCTCAAGTTTTTTTCTCAGTTCTTCTCTTTAAGCTTATACATTTTTAGATGCCACACTTATATGACATTTTGTTTATCCATAATGAATAAAATAAGTTTGAAAAATATAGGTGCTCTATAAAATTATTTATAATTGTAAAATGAACTGCTTGTGGCATGCCACCGGATCTCCACTACATGTGAATTGAGTTTTTTTTATGAACAAATACTTATGGGTTGCAAATAAGTAAATATATAGGCATCTTAATCAATAGATCAATTTGCTATCATGCGTCATGAGTGTATAATGCATATGACTTTCCTAAATGGTTGTAAATTCAATTGGGGGAATATATTAGGCAAGGAGCATCATCAGTAGTTCTATCAGATACCATATTTGTTAAAGAAGTAATTAGGCAACATGACTTTAAATGGATATTTGAACTTGCTCAATCTATAGTCGTGATGGGTAATAATGTTGTGAATCGGTGAGACTTCACATTTTCATTATTACATAGTTTCTAGCTTATTGCTAAATATTGTTAATATGGTTATTGCATTTTTATTAATCATTTTAGTGAGAATTTGTGGAATTTTTTAACCAACTAAAAATACTTACATGGATGGTGAATGTTATGATCTCAGCTACTAGAAGTATAGCCAAAAATAGATAACAAATGAGTATGCTTCTCATCTCTTCAACAACTCTAGCTTTATCAACCCAAATCAACTAGTCATCTTTAAAATTGGTGAATATTTTGCTTATACTTCTCCTTTCAATGTGCTCATTGATGGCTTATGTTTGTCACCAATCTCTTATAGCCATATAAACTTGTTAGACTCAATGAGCATTTTTACTTTGAATTTTTTTCTCTAATTGATAAATTAATAGATCAATTCAATATTGCACTCATATTCTTCCTTAAAATTAGAATTTAGAAATTATTGCAATTTTTAACTAGTACTTAAAGTAATTTCTTGCACAACTCCTTTGTCTAGCAAAATATGCCATTCCTTGCATTGTACCATTTTTTTTTTGCCTTTTTTGTAGGCATTTGCTGATAAAATTGGCATACCTTTTCTGAAAACAAAAGTAAAGGATACTACAAATGTGGAATAGATGTTTATGAATATGGCTGCTGTGATCAAGGATAGGTATCAATAACACTTTGTTTTTTTAAGATATGGAAAGGATAAGGCTAAGAGCTTTTTGTGTTGTCATTCTATTTGTAGTATATGTCCATTGGTCCATTCTATGCTCACCTATCTTTTAGATTGATTTTCTAGTTTTATGTAGTTTCAATCTTGCTCTCCTTTTCTAGTATTAAAGTGTTTAGCTTTTGATATACTTCAGTCTTCTAGGCTGCTCATGCTGGTGAATACCTATATTTTCCTATAGGGAGTGCTTGATTGTTTATTTATATGTGTTGGTGATTGTTGTGATCATTGTGCTTATCACTTGTCAGTTGTAGTTTGCACGAATGAATTTAT